AAAAAGAGTAGGCAGTAGGTTTAATACAAATAAGAGGAAGTATTTTTTCATGCAATGCACAATTAACCTGTGGAACTCATTGCCATATGATGTTGTGATGGCCAAAAGTATAACTGGGTTCAAAAAAGAATTAGATTAATTCAAGGAGGATAGGTCCATAAATGGCTATTAACCAAGATGGCCAGGGATGTAACCACATACTTGAGATGAGCCTAAACCTCTGACTGCTAGAAGCTGGGAGGGGAAAACAGGGATGAATCACTTCAGCTGCCCTGTTCTGTACACTCCCATGGAAACTCGAATACTAGCCACTGCTAGAGACAGGATACTGGGCTAAATGGGCCACTGTCTGACTCAGGATGGCTGTGCTTATACATGCAACATACAAAATTGCAGATAAATGCAATCTATGCAACTATGGCCTGATTACAAAGAATATTATAGTCAATTCATGGATTCATACATTGTAAATCAGAGGGGACCATTATGATCAAGTCTGACCTACTACATAATATAGGCCAGAGAACTACACATGATTCCTGAATCAAGACCTAACTGCTGGTTGAAATAAACAAATACAATGGCAAATGTATTAATTAATCTGTATCATTACAGAGAGAGTTGGCAGTGACCCTTGTATTTAGGCTGCTTAAAATTTTTCATTATAAAACATTCTTTTGACCTTTTTTTGAGAAGTCTGAACACTTCCATTTTTTTGCAGTAGTCTTTGGATTTCCACAGGGAGAGAAACCTCAGGGTGGAGAAGTGCTTTTTCTTTGTCTCATTATGATGGGGTATACCAACCCCCTACTGGCCCAGCAGGAGTTAACCACTCACTGGGGGCTCAGAGGCCATGCCTCCTCACCCTTGCTGAGCATGCTCCAGCTGGAAGCAGGGTATAAAAGAAACCAGCTCAGCTCTGTATGGGCTGACTGAGCAGGAGAGTGGATGCAGGCTGTGAGCTCCTGCCAGGGCCCCAGACTGCAGAGGCTGAGTCCATTGCAGGACCCCAATCAATGGGAGACAGAGGGAGACAGGTGGCTGCTGCCCCTGGGGAAACTGTTGGAGCTGGATTCAAGGGTAGGAAGTGGCCCAAGCAATGTGTTTGTTGAGGGAATCTGAAATCAGGACTACTGGTTCTACAAGGCCCTGGGTCAAGACCTGGCAGAGTAGGGTGGGCCTGGGTCCCAAGTCCATTGGGAGGCAGAGCACTTAGGAGCTGGAACATCTAAGTCCCCTTTGATAGTCTAGCCCTTAGTTCTTTAGCTCAAGTGGTGGAAGTCTATACTGATTTGTTCTGGTTCAAACCCTGATGGCAATGCATGAGGGAAAGATTCTTCCAGCTTGTAAGGGTTCCTCCATCTTGGGTCTGGGTACTCCCTTCCAGCAGTGTGTGGGGGAGTCAGTAGGTCAGCTGCATGTTGTCGGGAGGCCTGACTTGTGGTCCCAGCACTGCCCACTCTGTATTTCCAATTTTCTGTATTTTCCAGCACTCAGCCTGTCAGCTGGTAGCCCGGGCCCCTGGATGGAATACTCACCAAAAGTCTAGCACTCTGGCCTCCTGAGTGCAGGCTGAGTATGGCCCATGATCTATGGCCCACAGCCTCTGCTGGGGCAAGCACCAAGATGTTTGCTTGCTCAAGCCCAGAATCTATAATCCTCTGCCTCCTGGTGGAGGAAATCAACAACAGGGGCAGGACTCCTGAGGTGAGGATGCAGCAAGCCTCCTGTGGGGGCCAGCAATGGGGGGTAGGGAGACTTTGTGCATCCTGCTCTGCCAGGTCCCAGCCCAGTGTCCTAGCCATGGCAGGTGATCCTATTATGATGTCAGCAAGGGAACATAAAATCGCTGCCCCATGTCCTGACAGCACAACTGTACCCAGGTCTGGTTTCCCTGAGCTACTTCCTACACATTTCTGCTGACGCTGCTCTTGTCGCTGCCAGACTCTGGCTCACAGCCCTTCCTCTGGTATCTCCCCAGTGTCTTCCATCTCCTGGGACTGTAGGGTGCCAGTCTACTGTATGGCTAGTCCTGGACCTTACTGAGGGTTCAGCACTCTAGTAAGGACATCTGCCTGCAACTGAGCTGCAGGGCCCTACATTTCTATTCTTCCTGCCTCGCCGCTGCACTTCTTGTAAGAGAGGTGGGGTCGGGTTAGCTGTGCCCACCAGGGAGAATGTAAGGCAGTGGTTCTCAAACTTTTGTATTGGTGACCCCTTTCACATAGCAAGCCTCTGAGTATGACTCCCCCACATGTAAATTAAATACATGATTTTTTATATTAAACACTATTATAAATGCTGGCGGCATTGGGAGTGGAGGATGATAGCTTGTGACCCCCCATGGAATAACCTCGTGACCCCCTGAGGGTCAAGACCCCCACTTTGAGAACCCCTGATGTAAGGGTTCCTCCCTTTCGGGACTACAGGGAGGCCAGTCTGTCTCACTACACAGCTGCACATCACAAAATTTGTTTTTACCTTTTTCCTATTAAAAAAAAACAACCTAGGAAATTACATATAAAATACCTATGTTAAAAGAACGTTATTTAGGTTGCAAAGTCATCAAGCACTCAAAAGTTTGGACAACAACCCAACTCTTAAAATTAACCACCTAGCGATGCACATGCCTAAACCGAGTAACTGCACAACCCTATTGCTGTCACCCTTGACCTTTTCCACCCCATCCACTTCTCATTCTTTGTAATGTGACGAAACGGGGTATCATATAAAATTAGATTGTAAACTACTGGGGCAAGGGCTGTACCATTCTATGTGTCAATTCCATGGAAGTGGACCATTTTGGTTAACAAACCTACTTGATACATATTCAATATATTTAGACATCAACATGGAAAAATGTAGGCTTTTACAAATCTGAGTGTCAAGTTCTTTCTCATACATTGTTTTCTAATAATGTTTGCCTGCTATTTTCAGTGCCTTCTCAATATTATTCTGTAAATATTTGACCCATAATGTTTCTTATTGTATGTTAAAGAAACAATGTCTTCAAATGATGACAGCTGTTAAGTTTGCAAAGTAAAATTGAAGATGAGGAAGGGCTATGCCTGAAGAAAAAGTGCCTTTCTCTCCCCTTCCTCCCAGCCAAGCACTCTCCTGTCAGCTCAGATCTGTACGTAGCAACTGCACAATTATTTGTGTTTTACCTGCTTTCTTCTTCCTTAGCTGGTTCCATTAAACTCAGTATTTTGTGAACTACAGTGCTCTGACCTGATCTACGTCTGCCGGTAAATGTCTCCTCACCTTCACTACTGATCCTGCAGTACCAATGACAGAGGGAAGCCTTCAGCCAATGACAGCCTTTGACTGCACCTTCTCTGAAAGGATTCTGGGAAATTGAGTTCTTCTTTAGTCAGCAGTTCGTCTGAATGTCAATTTGCGTGTAAAGAATAACTGCAAATGACAATATGGCGTGACATGTTTATTAGTGTGGTGCCCAAAGAATTGGTATCAAGGTGGGGATGGAGAAGGTATTTAGAAAACAAACAGCTGGCAAACATCTACAAGCCTGCATTTTTTTTAAAGTGCTGGCAGCATCACCAGGCTTGCATCTGACAATCCTATGGGCAAACCCACAATTTATTTATAGAGCAATTACACTAGAGGCAAACTTTTCCTGCCTGCCCTAGAGGCCCCTCCTTTACAGTCAGATGGGAATTCAGTTCACATGATCATCCAGTTGTTAGTATCTCTGCTGTGATTACCAGTGAGTTCTATATTTGGGGTAGTTCTTATGATGTGGTCACTTGTTCACTAGGAAATGGACTGTGTCCCTACCAACAACTCATTTCACATAAGCCACCAAACCTCTTTCAGAGTGTAACAAGTTTGGTCATTACTGACCTGGGTTGGATTCAGTTCTCTGTATCAGGTTTATACTTTAAAAAAGAAAATGTGGTGGTGATTGGCAAATTTCTCCCACGTTTTAATGGTTTGACTGACTCTTGTGACAGTTTCTGATGTAGTCAAAAGCGTCATAATGGGATCTAAAGTTAGACTTCATCTCCTCACTCTAAGATAACTAAAAAGGCAATTCTTACCCTTCTGGAGACCATTTTCTGTAAACGGACCTGCATATGGAGATTTCATATTTTAGCTTATTATTAAGCTTTGTTCTTTATAAAGTAGGAAACCAGGCCCTGTTTAGTGAAATCTAATAAAAGTAAATAAATGTGCAACACAATGGTGTGTCAATGCTGTGCCCCAGTACAATCTGAAAAAGGCTTCAAAGGCTGGAAAAGTATGCTGATAAAATCTGCCCATGCCCTCAGATAGCATTGTACTCACCTATTTTTAGTTTGTGTACTTGGACTAACTTTTGCATCGCCTCATCATGGGACACAGTTAGATGATAGTGACAGTCTACCGCATGATGTTCACCCTTTTTATGATAAATTTTGTACAAGATATGCACTGTGAGGTATCAGTTGAAAATTCACAATCTGCTGTGCATTATTGTTCTGATAAAATATGTGTATCAGCATTGTATGCAGAATTATAAGATTCTTACTCCTAGGGGAATTCTGTGCCTAAAAATTCTACACCCATTATTTTAAAATTCTGCATGTTTTATTTGTCAAAATAACACTATATAATCATGCCAGTTTCAATTATTGTGATAATTTATTTCAAAATACCTGTCAGCAAGTATGTCTGTAACAATACAGACACCTGCTGTGATATAGTAACTCTATCAGGGTGGGACAAAACCACTCCAAATCGATGAAGTTTTGGTGGAAGGCCAGCACTGTGACCGCCTCATGTCACAATACAAGGAGGTGAAGTTGTGTCACGACACCGCCAGGATGAGGCAACACTGCGTGTGCGCCTGTAGCCCCTGGTGGGGGCGCAACAAGACGATGCCACTCAGCACATCAACAGAACCCCTGCCCCAAGAGGGACGTCATATCTCTGCGTCATAAGGTTGTGATGACGCATGAATACTACGTGCAGAGACGCTCCTCCCCCGTTCCCATCCCCGACGCTGGCGGCAGTGACACAGCGCAGCGGGCACGCCCTGCCGCCCAGGCCCGGAAGGGGCGAGGCCCGCTCAGCGCTCGCTCGCTCGCTGCGGCAGGATGGCTGCTCCGCGGCGCTGGTGGCGGCGGCTCCGCTTAGTGCCGGTGGCGGCCCTGCTGCTGCTGCTGCTCCCGGGCCCGGTCGGCGCCGCCCAGTTCTCCAAGTGGCGGCTGCCGGTGCCTCTGGTGAGTGCGGGCCGGGGGGGGCCGCTCCCCGCTCCATCCCGGATCCCGGGGGTGGGGCAGATCCGGGACGCGGAGCCGGGGGGACGGGACGGACGATGTTGCCCCGCCCTATCCCCAGGCGGGAGGGGGCTGCGGTGCGGCGGGCCCCGGCGCGGGGAGAGGCGGAGGTGTCGCTGGGGGCGCCCCGGCGACGGGCCGCCAGGGTGGCAGTGGTCTGGCAGGGCGGCGTGTGCGCAGGGCTGTCTGCTCCTTTGCTCCCTGCACTGTTGGGATTTTCCTGGGGCATGAGACTCTTGCCATCGTCTTTGCTCAGTAACATGGTCCTAGAGTTTTTAAGGTGACCTTCGAAAGGGAACAAAGTTGGGCTTGTTGGGCCCCTTTTTCATTCGATTTGTGTAGAAGGGCTGGAAACTTTTATTGTAATTTTTTTGACTCATGTTTTGCATTTGTATAGCCCAGAAGACACTCTGATGCCTTTAGTGCTAGTGAACTAACCTCAAAAGAGTACAGAAAATGAAAACTGCATTTGAGAAGAGGAAGGCTTTCTTATCAGACTGCTAAACTGTGTTTTATAGCTGTTTAACATTAGTGATTAAAACCTTTTGGTGAAAGGACATCTGTTAAAGAATCAGCTTCTCTCCACTGTCAGCCAAGTTGTGAAAACTAACAGCTCACATCCTCTGAGATATCCTTGAGGTCTTCCAGCAAAATTAGAGAGGATCACAGCTCCTGTTACTTTTAGGGGTAAAACTCCTTTTTAAAAAACAAAACCTAGACCCTTTTTATATACCACAAAGAAACAAAGTCTGATTTAAATAAAACACCTTTGCAAGATCTCCTTTGTAGGTTTGGCTGGATATGCTAGAATCGGAGGTGGAAGAATCACAAATACTAAATCAGTTAGGCGCGCTCTTGCTTAAGAGTTTGGGTTCTTTTGACTATTGTGCTTGAAATTCTGGGTGAAAGAAAGCAGTGTTTACTTATTTAAATGATCTGATGTTATCCAATTGTCTTCCTCATCTCTTTACTTTTTTTTGTCTTTGCAGGGGAAGAAATTTTTTCATTTTGGAAAGGTTCTCTTCAGCAATACCACAATTTTCCTGAAGTGTAAGTGCTCTTGGTGGATGAGTCTGTTATGCTAGTCTCTACTCAGTCTAGTAGTCCTCACAATGTAGTAATACTTGGATGAAAGTGCTCGTAAAACTGTGACTTCTCCAATGATATCAAACTGGTTACATGGGTAGATGATCTGCTAGCTATGGATTAAAATCATGTGCCCATACTGATACTGTTAGATCTGTTAGCAGCCTTTGACCTCTTTGATTAAGAGGTGGTGTTCACTTACTGCACATTGTAGTAGGAGTGAATGGTACTACTCTTGGGTGGCTTCGTTCGTTCTTGGCTAAATATTTCCGGAAAGTGATATGGGAAAGTTGCTTCTCTTTTCTTTGGGTACCATAATATGGACTTCTGCAAGGATTTGTCTTGTCTCCTCTCCTGTTCAATGTGTGGGGCTGTTGGGAGGGTTAGTCAGAAGATAGGGGCTGCTGTGTTTTCAGTATGCTGATGACCTTCAGCTCTGTCACTGTCTCCAGTTATAGCCTTGCTGTTGAAAGTCTAGGCCAGTGTCAGAGGAAGACTGGGGCAGTGGTGGAAGCCAGCTGGCTGATGCTCAATCTAGATAAGACAGGTACAGTTGGTGAGTTGGGGGAAGCAATTGGATAATGTGGTGAAGATGGTCCCTCGCCTTTTGACTGAGGGTATGTTCTCACCATTTGTTTACTCACCTTCATTGGGAATCGTATGGGGTCTCCAGCTGCTGTTAGATGATCATATAGCAACAGTGTCCAGGAGAGCTTTTTACCATCTGTGTGTGGCCAGGAGACTGTGACCAATTTTTTTTTTCCCAAATGCAAATATTCTTGCAGTGATCCTTGTCTTTGTCACTTCAAAACTGGATTATTCCAGTTGACTCTGCAAGGGGATATAGTTGAGGTCAATCTGGAAATGTAAGGTTGTGCAGAGTGCAGTAACCTGCCTATTAACTGGTGGTACTTGGTGGCAGCACATGTTACTGGTGCTCCATGATGTGCCCTGGCTACCTACTGGTTTCCAGATGGAAGATGCTGGTTTTGATATATAAAGTCTTAATTAGGACTTGATACTCTGCTACTTGAGAAGACCTCCTCTCCTTGTGCCATACTGCTACATTTGCAATCAATGGCGGCATTTGATTCGTAGATTCCAAGCCCAGAAGGGACCATCATCATCATCTGGTCTACCATAGAACTTCCCCAAACTAATTCACAGAGCATATCTTTTTGAAAAACATCCAGTCTTGATTTAAAAATGGTCATTGATGGAGGTTCCATCACAACCCATGGTAAATTGTTCCAATGGTTAAATTATTCTCACAGTTAAAAAATTATGCTTTTATCTGACTCCACTTTGATTTAAACAAGGTGGCTGATGATAGTGTTCTTTGAGGGGCCATCAGCTCAGGAATAGGTTTTCCCCACTCATTCAAAATAGCACGAAGTTCTATTGAACTTTACAGCACCCTGCAAGATGGCTGTTTATGGAAAGAAAGAGCCTTGGAAAGAAATCAGCTATGTTGGTGAGAGGGATGGCTGGTGTTTTAGAAATTTAAGGCACGGGCATCTAGAGCCTGAATACTTGACCCTCTTTATTTTTGTATAAATCTTATTATAATTATGAATTATGTGCATTACAGTAGTGTGTAGAAATTGGGGCTGTAAGTAAGGGTTGTAAGATTGTGAAGCATTTGCAGCTGAAATAAATGAGCAGACAAAGGGCAGGAGGGGAAACAGAGGCACATAGAAATGAAATTTTGTACATGGTCACACAACAGGTCAGTGGCAGAGCTGTCAGTAGAACCCAAGACACATCTCCTCACTCCAAATCCAATGCCCTGTCCACTTTACTGCGCTGTATCTTTTCAAACACAAATTAAAGCCTCACAATTCCCCAGTGAGGACTCTTGTCTTACAGATGGGTAAACTGAGGGAGAGAGCTTACCCTGAGCTACACTGTCTGTACCTAAGGGTTAAATTATCTTGTGTATTTTGAGTTTGTAGTCTTTGTGAGGGGTTAGTACTGCTGCCATTTAGTTTGGTGCTTGCTGCTTTACAAGAATTGTCATTTGCTTTAGCACCCTGCTTCACTGTGTTAAAGAATAATTTCAAACATCTTCAGACACCTCCAAGTAGAAACTTGTAACATCAGAATGAATGGAATTCTAGTCTCCACATGGGTCACTTTGTGTTCTTTTGAACAATAGTGACTGTCTCAGAAGAACATACTTTCTGCTCTTCTGTTGCTGGTCCCTTCTTTGAATAAGCATATTATTCATTGTTTGTTGTAGTTGGGCAGGGGAGTAACATTATATATGGTACTAGTCCATTAATAGCTAGGGGAAAACCTGGCATATGAGGACTGGTTACGTTTTTTTTCTGTCTTGTTTTCCTTGTAGTTGAAGGAGATGAGAAGGCTTGTGATCCCTTGCAAGGTTATAATGTTACCTGGTACTTTAGACATTCTGATTGCTACGATGAAGTCTCCAACTTTGGGGTAAGAATCATCCGGAACTGCATGGTGGTGTTTTGTGTTTTTTTTTTTTTTTAAGTCATGGTGGCTTAGTGGATTTGAGCTTGGATACTTCATTTATATCTCATTCCTGTCTGTCTGCTGTTCTGAGGAGGGCATCTGTACTCTGGTGGTAACTGGGAAATGCAGAGGGCATGATCCAAAGCTTATTGAATGCAAGGGGAGTCTTTCTATTGACTTCAGTGGATTTTGGATCAGGCCATTAGCTCTTGAGCGTTTACACTAATTTTCTTCATCTAGATGCAGAGGATAAAAAAGCAATGAGAAAAACCCAAACAAACGGATCAACTCTGATTAAAAATTCAAACACTTAATATTTAGTACAAAAAATTATTAGAGAATTTGGCACTCAAAGCTCAGCAAATACCTAAACTGAGGTTGTATTCAACCTTAATTCAAACCCCTATTATATATGCTACTTACAAGTCTGTACATTGTATGAATGCATACTGTTTCTCAAATACAGTAGAACATACAACTTTTCTACAACTTCAGATACTTCTGTGTAGCAGTTTGTGATAGTTTACTTAATTTTCATTCTCAGGTTCATAAAATGTACTGAATATAACGTCTTATATTAAACTCTTCTGTCCAAGGTATTTTTAATAATTTAGGCTTCCGTGTTGCTGATTTATGCTTCTCCCCTAAATTTAAGCATATAAGTAATCCCACTGATTTCATCCCAACTACACATGTACTTAAAATTAACCACAGGTGTAAATATTTGCAGGATTGAGGCCTTTACAGACATGTTGACTTTTTTTTTAAACCAGTGGTACAACCTTATTTCAGGTGCAGTTGACTATTAAGCAAGTTAGCTCTGAACTGAGGTTCCTTTTATATTGTAACAAATGTTCACTATTAGTATTGTATAATATATGCCGTATATTTATAGCTTACAGTGCAACTTTCATGAAAATAACTTTGTGGACTGACTGGCGTTCAGTTATGTACGTATATAATTGTCTAAGATTATGTTTAAAAATCATGGAAGAACTAGTTGCCGCTCTCTGGTTAGAGAACAGGGAGTTCAATTATAAGATGTGTTTTGATCCCCATTCTAAATTTACATGGAAGGGGTTTTTATCATGAACATCTTTGTGATTAATCTGGGTAGATTCATTTTGTATGGACAGGATGGGAAATACTTCTTTTGTTTTAGATGTCCTATTCTCTTCATGGATGTTTGTACATTAAGGGAAGTTGCGTTGCTTTCCATTTTTTCTAGCTGCTGAGAAAAATCACTTGATATATCAAATGCCACACAAAAGTTCTATTATGTATCTGACAGGATGATCAAGCCATGTCTTATTTTGGAGCTACTTCTGAAGCACGTACGGGTTGGTCAGGATCCTATGCCATGGCTTCGCTCTTCTTCCCCAACTGTTCTGAGCTCTTCAAACCACAGGTATGATGTTGGTGAAGGCTTTGTAATCCCACCATGTTCTCTCATACCACGTACAGAGGAAAGGATTGGGATGATTCCTACTGGAACAGTTGGGCTTGTTGCAACTACGGGTGCTGCCTTAGCTGATGAGTACATATCCCCTACCTTAAAGAGGAGAAAATGTATCTTTATATGTGTGTAACAAATAACAGAAACAAAACAAATTATAACCATGATTTCTTTGTTTTGGTTTATTTAATGTTTACTGTTCAAAATCTGGCCCCAAAAAGCAGACTTAAATGGTGGAGTTTTCCATATTGGCAACATTGTGTCTACTTCATATTGGGGAATGGCATAGAGCTCTCTGCTGGGAAGCTTGTGGGTGTGTCCATACACAGAGTGGGCACTGCTTTTGGGGGGCTGTGGGAAGTACACAGCAAACTGGGCTTTACATTCCCTGCTGAATAATGCCCTCAGCCTTTTTGCCAGGTGAGTGTTCAAGACTAACATTTAAATGAACATAAATTTAAAGACTAGGTGGATAGGTAGATTATATAACACACTGTCAATAAATTAGAAACTTCAAGCAACTGAAGTCCACATAGTGAAAGGGCAAAAGAGTACTTAAAGCATAAGACCAAACGAGGGGAAAGAGGAGGGCCAAAGTGGGCAGTTACACGTGGAGGTATGTGCTTTGTGGAAAGGAATCAAGGGGGAGTGTACAAATACACGCCCTACACCAGTTGTATCTTGCCACGGGAATCTGCACAACTCTGTTAATACCAAATGTCAGTAAACGTACTGTTTGTTTAACAGTTTGTACATAGAGAATTCAAGGAGAAATGTACAGCTTGGCATCTGTATTAGGCTGTTACTAGCTGAAACAAAGGACATTGGGTTGTGAACACCAGGAAACTTCTCTTAACTCCTGAATCTGGCATACTAAGTAAGCAATGAGGCATAGTTAAAGATGACTGGAAAAGGATTTTTTAAAAATCATGTTTGTGCTCCTTTTTAACTACTTTGATGTATAAAGATGGCTTGAAACACATTTTAAAATACGTTGCCTGCTTTTACATTTAGAAATATTAGAAATGTCAACTGTTTTCTCTGCTTTTACTGGAAGAGCTCTTGTGCATCTCAGCTGTGTATTAGGAGGCCATATATTAATAGAATTGCCAAGGTGGTAAGGGTGGGATTTTCAGAAGACCCTAAGGGTATGTCTACACTGCAGTAAAACACTTTATTGCTGGCCCATGTCAGCTGACTCAGGCTGCAGGGCGTATAAAATTGCAGTGTAGATCCTCAGGTTTGGGTTGGAGGCTGAGCTGGAATATCTACATTTCAGTTTTGTAGCCCTGCAGCCCAAGCACAAGTTGGCTGACACGACCGGCTGTGGCTGTAGTCTTGCAGTGTAGACATATACCCTATGTGACTTTTCCTTGGGCGCCTTTGAAATCACAACCGAAATCTTGAACGAAGACATCCTTTCTCCAAACGTGTATCAGCTAATAAACTATTATAAACAGTCTGGCAAAGACTCTTTCCCACTCAGTTGCTTAGCTTTCAGAATCTTCTGAAGTAGTAGTTTCATTAGTTCTCCAGTCACTGTACTGTCTTTCTGGGTAGTTAAGATCTGAATTTCTTATGTAAAAAACAAGCAGGAAAAAAGTCTGCAAATAGAACCCAACTAAACCCACCCTTTCAGGACTATTTTATGCATAAAGAAATAAAACAGCTTGGGTCCAACTTTTTTCTTTGTGAGTTACCTCTAATAGGGAGGTGCTTAGAACTCTCTAAGTGGTGCACACTTTATTATGGAAATTAACTTCTTTACTCCTCAAATTAAATCTGTGGGTCCAATTCTATGAAAATGAAACCTGTTGTATTTAGTAATTCTGTCTCCGCTGTGGAGAGAGTTTGGGTTAGGGAAATGAGAGAGGGGCTTCTCCCTGTAAATTAACCCTCTGTTGCTATGTTTCAGAATGTGCTTTCTTGTAATCTAATTTTAACAGCAGAAGGAGTGCTGATATAACTTGTCTTTAAACACTTCCTTAGAAATAAATGTTTATATTTTTTTATCCTAAAGATTTTCTATAAAGAGTATATTCCCCTAGAACGCCTCTCAGATGAAAAACAAGAGGTAATTACTTTTCTTTGGTGTACATGATTTTTAAATGGGGGTGATGGTGGTGTGTGGTGGGGAAGCTTTTGGAATCTTGATTGATTTGCTGCTTTTTATGTCTTTAAGAGTTTAAAAGATAAGGCGAATGCAACAAACCACACAATGGTGGCAGAGAAAACTGTAAGTATCTGAGGATTTTAGGCATAAGGGTGGTGTGGAATATAGCAGCTCTAAATAAAAATTATTTTATATTTGCACAAATTCTTTTTAGTATGTATTAATGGTAGTGCTATTATTTTTGCTACACTGAATCTTATGGAAGCTAGATATGTTTCAGCCTTGTCATAGTGTAATAATTATGTGGAACATAGGTAATTTGGCAGTAGTTCTAGATGTTCCACAATCTTTGTATGAAACATTTAGTGTTTAAGTCCATGTTCTCTCTGGATTCCATTAAAGGTCAGACTGGTGTTATCAGAAATAAAATTAAATACAATAGTTAGGTTTAAACGTTCAACACACAAATATTGGTGTGTGTGATTGATATATATCAATCAACCTTAACAGATTTTATCATTGATAATTTTGTCTTATCAAATATCTGATTTATTGGCAGATCTGAGTTGTAAGCATGAGGGATGTCCCACAGGCAACAGTAATTTCTACAGCAAATGATCAATATGGAAGATTCTTACTCCATCTCAATAACCTTTGGTGTTTCATGTTATACAATTTGAATGGCTGCTATCAAAGCCAAAGAACTCTGTATAGTTCTGTTGTTGCTGTTGCTTTCAGAGAGTAAGAAGCAAAATAGTCTTGGTGAATGTGTGTTCGTTGAACTGAATCTAGGAAAGTCTTTTTCCTGACATCACTGTAGTTTTTGTGGTTGTCTGTCTGATTAGCTTTACTAACTTTTAGTGCATTGCATATAAACCACAATTTTTAGGAGCCTGGCCCTAGTGTGTTACAACTGTGAGAACAGGTTGGAGATTAAATGAAAAGTATTAATACAGGTCCACTAGGTGGACAGCTCCCACTGTGTTATACATTCATATTGTTCATATATTTCCCAGCATAAGGGCTTTGGGGGAGACCATCGTGGTTATAGCCTCATCTGTGAATACTGTGCCTGCTTAAAATCTTTTCAGGAGTCTTATCAGAAGACGTTAGTTTTGCATTAATCTGATTTGCTCTATGTTGGTCTGTACGTACATCTGGAAACTTCCTTTTCAGGCAAGGAATGCTGTGATCCAAACCCAGAAAGATGGGCCATATATCTTCATTGTGCAAATTGGGATTTCAGCCTTGAACATGAAAAGGAGGGAGATAATGGCACCGTCCTCTGATCCAAAAGAGAGTCTCTTTACAAGTAAGCTGTATATAGCCATCTTTCATTCTCATTTATTTTTGACTTATTGAATGTTCTTATCAGACATTCTTTATGTGCTTTTATGTAATATACACTGTGCAGCCCAGTGTCAGTTTAAAGACTTCCATCTTCTATCTCACACACCATAATATTCCCAATTACAGCTCCCCTCAGCCTAAGGCAATAGATGAGCCATGCGTGGTATCAGGAGGATAACAGCTTTGGGCTTTGTCAAACTAATGGTAGAAATTATCAAGTCCTCAGTAATTCAGTTCTGAGTATTGTCCCTCCACGTAAGGATGTTGCAAGAACACCCCAACTAATATAGTTGTTTATAGTAACACTCTAAGTAACCAGGCCTCAAGTGGTGTAGAGCATTGCAAGATCAAAATTAACACCTTGCAGTTGCTACTAGCAGTGACTTGGAACCATGTGCACATCTTTGAGGGAAATACTAAACTCTTTAGCATATCTTAAATTAAAATGTTTATTGGCATGACATTTGTTTTCAAAGTGGCTACAGTGCATAGGCAATTAAGAAAAAGAAGGAAATTCAAAATTAAGACTTAAATGTAGTCTTGAACTTGCCCTAGTCTGCACAGGCTCTTCATAGCACAAATTAATATAATTTACTTTTCACTAAAGAAGAATGCTATGTATAACGGGGCATGTCATTTTTGAATACAAGCATGTAGTTCATTGTTTTATATAAGGCTTAATCTTTTATTGTGATTGAAGTACAAATTACATTTAAGAGGTGCTGCACTATGTAAAGATTTGGAATATCTCTGTTATCGTGTTGATGTCAGAATTAGGTGGTTATTCCAGTTCCCTGCGTTGTTTCCTGTTCAAACCAGTTGGATTGTGTTTTGACAGTGACTGTGGAACTGAAGGGTCCATATGAGTACCTCTCTCTTGCAGACTATCCTCTCATGATTGTAAGTAAAACTGGCTTTAGTTTGCCTACGAAGTTGACATAAATCCCAGTAAAATCTTTTCTTGAGCAGTGTAGTCAACCACAGTGAGTTAGTGGCTCAGCATGAATAAAGAACATTGTTTTTCATGTATTTTTCCCTACTCTGCAAAGTTCAGGAATTAGCATGTTCCAGTATTAATTTTTTTTTCTTGTCTGAGTGCTATAACATAGCTGCTGTAGACTAGTCATGCCAGAGGGCAACAGTATCATTAGTATAGTTATCCACTCATGAATTGCAACTTTCAGTACATACTCTCCTGTCTTAGCTCATCTGAGGAAACTCACTATTCTTTATTTTTGCTTAATGTTACCATTTTGAGTGTCCTTGCTTTCTCTGCTCTTTTGTGGTAGCCACCCCCTACTGTTCTTCGCTGCCATCAGACAGTGATAGAATAACTCAGCTTCTAGCTGACTCAGTTCTTAGTTGTTTCTTTCCAGGAGGTGAAGTGCTTTCCTAATGGCTGAAGAAGTAAAGAGACTTAAACAAAATGTTCATTCCCTTTATAGAGACCTTGGGAAAAGACTGACAAAAAGTAATATCTTTAATGCAATGGTCTCTGCTACTGGGCGGGAGTAAGCAGTAGTCTCTGGTTGAGATTGAGATGCTGCACGCTTCACTTTCTGCAGAAGTAGGAAGCATGCAGCAGAATTTTCTAAGGCTCATTTATTCTCTGTGAGTGACCCAATGTGAGCCATCCAGGAAAAGGGCCTTTAAGTCTAGAGGGCACCTTTGATGGAGGGTGAAGCTGCTGTGGCTAGGTCCTTCTATTTGAATTGTATGAGTAACCTGGACACAGAGGTGTATAGGGAAGAAAATCCTATCCTGATCAGGAAGTGCGTTGAGATTCTGCAGTTAGTCTCTCAATGGCCTAGTTTAAAAACCAGTTCACTGCAGGGAGAGACTGCAGTTGTCCCCATGCTGTCCCTCGTCTTCGTTCTGGCCCTGTAGCTGATCCATATTGAGTGGCCATTTGTTTTATGTGCTTTACGGTCTTCATCCTCCTCTTTCTTGCACATTAAGCCTCAATGATCTATTGGAAGTTCACCATGATCTGGTGTGGTGTTCTGATGTTTCTAATCCATCAAATAACTTACAAAATCTGTTTTTCAACATGTCAAGTTTGCTTCTATGCAATGCATGTCTGAAAGATCTTGACGACTTTACTTAAGTCTCTTAAACAAGTCACTTTGGACCTAAAACATAGCAGAATGTTAGTTTGAACATCCTTTTGTGATAAATTTCTGAGGCTTTTTCTAGGTCCTGTGTCTTACTCGCCTCTTTTGAATGATCTCAGATTTGGTCAAAAACTGTTTTGTTTGCTGGCCACATGTGTCTGAAGGTGATTTTGGGACTGGGGGAAATGACCAAACAGATCTGTAATGAAAAGCAAGTCTCTTTCCTACCTGGGAGGGGAGGGTTCCAATAATCACCCCGTAACTTGTGCTTTACAGAATGGTATGAGAGAGAAGCCTGCCTCTTACATTAAATCTTTCCACGATAGATTCAGGGAAGTTTCTGAAATGTCCCTTAAGGGTGGCAGAGAAGTTTGGAACTACAAGAACAAACCGGTGCAAGGAGGGTAATGTTTCTTGGTGTTTGGGGGATGATTTGTACAAGTGCAGATTCTGATTGGAGTTTTTTGAGGCTAGTGATCTTTGCTTTACTCCTTTGGAAGAGTCTGCCGAGAATAAGCTGGGAAGTGCCTCTAACATAAGAATGGAATCACTCAAACTCAATTTAATTGATTCATCTGCTGGCAGTGAGAAATTTATACCATGCCTCCAGACTGTTACAGAACCTGAGGAAAGAAATGTGAAGTGAACCTTTTTTTATTTTCCAGCGTAGTTGGATATAGACATTTCAAAAGCTGCTGTGCTTTAACAAGAAAATGTAGCTGTATTTATAATCCATGCACTGTCCTTCTATGGAAATGGTATTGGGTCTAACCATTCTATTAATCCCTTCCTTGTTTCCCTCCTGATATGGTAGTTTTTCATGGTGATGTGTATCGTGTATGTGTTCTTTGGAGTTCTGTGGCTTGCGTGGTCAGCCTGTTATTGGCGGGACCTCCTGAGGATCCAGTTCTGGATTGGTGCGGTTATCTTCCTGGGAATGCTGGAGAAAGCAGTCTTCTATGCAGAATTCCAGAATATCCGCTACACGGGAGAATCTGGTATGTACCAAGAACAACTTTCAGTTATGGGTATATCTACGCTACAGTCAGAAGTGTGACTCGGCACATGTCAACATCCTAAGGTAGCTTTGATTTAGCCACTTGAATAATTCTAGCGGTGTAGCTGCCGCACTAGGAGCTGTACAGGCTCTTCCGGGGCCCTACATACGTATTTGATCAACTAGTATGTGCTGCTGTGGCCTCACTGTTATTGTTTGAGCTAGCTAGGTCAAAAGTAGCTCTACATATTCTGTAGTCACCTCTCTGATTGTAGTGTAGTCATACCCATTGTCCTGGGCAGGGTAAGGTAGTAATGACTTACTCGAATATATAACTAATTAGGTAATGTATATGCAATAACTCTTTGATTAGTAGGGCACCTCAGAACAAGGAATAAGTAGTCAACATTTTTGGGTTCTGTTTCCAATTATGCCACAGGCTCTCTGGATGACCTCTGCAAAGTTAGTAAACTGAAGTCTTCAGTCTTCATTGTCCCATCTGTAAAAAGAGAGTAATACCTACTTCATAGGGATAATTGAATCTTGTTTCTAAAGTGCTTTGACGTTCTCTGAGACTTAACCTACATAGCACATTGAATTTGTCTGTATAGGAAAATCTTGCTAACAATAAAGATAGTGAAGCACTGGAGCAGGTTGCCTAGGGAGGTTGTGGGATCCTTGTCATTGGAGGTTTTTAAAAACAGATTAGACAGATAACCATCACGGACAGTCTAGGTAGACTACTTCCTGTCCCAGTGTGGAGGGAAGGACTAGGTAACTTTGAGGTTCCTTCCAGCCCTACATTTTTATGAATCTATAATGTTGTGTTCTAGAAAATGCTTCAAAAACATTTTAGGATCTGACTTAAACTAATTTAAAGCTGATACTTGTGCTGTTTTGCTCACCCTTACATTCTTATGTGTTAGAGAAGTTTGTGCTATAGTAGTACATCAGGAAGCCTTAAAACACAAGGTAATAGATCACAAATGCCAAAGCTAGATGCAACAAGTTGAGTTATAGACAGAGCTGGGTTGTGAATTAATGGGTTGTGTGACTTGCTTTGGGATATGTGACATTTCACCTATCTAGATCACTAATTATAATCTGGCTCACGCTGGTAGGAACCAAAATTAATTACTGTACCAACTCACTGTCGGATTGCAGTTGAAACTGATCGGAGTGTGTTGGGTTCTAGGTGGGATGCACTAGCACAGGGCTTCCCACCAAGATCTTAAAGAAGGATCTAAGTGAGTGAAACTACAGCATGATCTAACAGAATTTTTACATGCAGCCGTCCTGATCCACAACGTAGAGGATCTTGTTGGTTGGCTACTTGGGATGCTATTAATGCCCAGGAGATGCTTAAGGCTACATTCAAAGTATTTGCAAGAAGGAATGGGGAAGGGCATTACTATATTTTGGTTTCTGCATGAGTTAAGATCATTCGGTATTCAATCTGATTTAATTATTTGTATATACCTTGTGGTGAGGTATGAGACTGAAATAACATTCTTCAGTTCATCTCTCAGCTAGAAGATACTTAAAGGTAGGTTTTGTCTAATCTACTTTATGTAGACCATATGCATACAGACATTTTCTGAGAAAAAAGGTTTCTCATTAACTCCTTTGGTGCTGAATGAAGTATTCAGCTCTTTCTGGAAGCTTGCTCCAACAGTAGATCATAAAAAGATTGATGCATTTTAATGTGCCTGCATTTCTTGGAATAGTCTTGACCACTGTAGTGTTGCTATTACCTGCAGCACTTATTCAGAACCCGAATTACACGTTTAGTAACCAAGTTTCTTGTGCTTTGTTCTTGGTAGTCCAAGGTGCACTGATACTTGCAGAGCTGCTTTCTGCAGTGAAACGTTCACTGGCTCGAACTCTGGTAATCATCGTCAGCCTGGGATATGGGATAGTCAGGTAAGTAACAACCTCATCTCATGTTACAGGCTCAACACGTTTCTTTAAAGTGGTTAAACGACATTTGAATGTTATTAGCAAACTTGGAAAATGGATGCTGCAGTGGGACAAAATGAAGTCAAATGTTAAATAAAAAAACTATTGTAACCAAAAATGGAAAGAGCATTTTAAAGAGAGAGAAGACAAAAATCTTTCTGTGGTTCAATACTCTTCTCAGATTGGAGACCCTGTCAGTGAGGAAGCTGACCTATCTACTGAAAAATGACATTTCGTAATGCATATGAGCTTAAATAAATGTTTCTTGAGAGTGTTAAAAATTAACCCAAAGTTTAAAAAAAACATAGCTGCTGACAGCCCTAAGTAATGGATTCTGTTAACACAGTCGCTCTCCATCATGTAGTCAGGTGCGTGTGAAGGCTGTGTGCATGCATGATCAGATACTACTGTGCAGTGAATATAATTGAGTACAAAGTGCTCAGTGTCCAGGAGAGGAAAATATCAGCAAGTGGGTGAGTTATGGGGAATGGTAGAAGTGTGATCGATCATTCAAAATATTTTCTTTAAACCCTATAAATGTGGATAGTAACGGGACTAAAACAGGTAGAGATAACTGTTCTTAATTGCATTTGCTGAATCTTCTTGATATGGGAGGGAGTATGGAGATGAGTGGGTGGGGACGACTTTAGATACCCACTTCGGGGAATATGCAGTTCTGGTTCTGATCTTTTTAAAGAAAGATATGGAAAAACTAGAGAGGATGCAACAAATGCAAAAGGATTAAAGGATAAGACCTATGAGGAAGGACCAAATGCACTAAAATGTGTGTAATCTAGAGGGGACAGAACATGGGGGACAAAGTTTGGCATAGAGATCAGAATAACTCTAATAAATGAAGAAAAGTATTTCAGAAGACAATAGAACCAAGATTAAAGGAAGCCAAGAAAGGAAAATGTTAAACTAGATTTTGGGGATGTTATGGTTCTTAGGCTAGACTGAGATTAATCCATTATCTCTCACAATGAAAGTCTAAAACTTTTTTGAATGTTCAAAAAGCGGTTAGAGAAGACCACTTCTGTATGTATATTATAAATTCCCATGAAGCGTGAGACAAACTTTTTCTGTGTCTGAAATTAAGTCTGGGTCTTGAAGTGGTTTTTATCTTACACATAGTGTGTGAAACTTTCATTGTACTGTACTCTTAAAATCACACCTTTTAAATTCAAGCCTGGACAAAGCCTAACGTGACACCATGAGCCTAGAGCACCATAACAAAATAACTTCCTAGATCTGTAACTTGTGATGAGAAACCTTGAATCATGTGCCTTTTGCTGAGGTGTGGTTTTTTTAGCTTTTTTCACTTTTTTTTAATATTTCCCTGCAGGCCTCGTCTTGGAGTCACTCTTCACAAAGTAGTTACGGCTGGAGTGCTCTATTTATTATTTTCTGGCATGGAAGGTGTCCTTAGAGTCACAGGGGTCAGTAGACACTTACCTATGTTTTCATGTGTGCCACGGATGTAGCAATTGTTGGTCTTATGTGTGATTACGTATACTGTAATGTAGTGAAGGATCCTTGGGCTATGCTACAATAGGGAAATTTGGAGAATGAAAATTCCCAGTGCCTTAGGGGGGAGAGAAGACAGTTGTGAAGTGTTGTGGAGAAGGCTTTATTTTTCCAGCTATTTTACCAATTTCTTGCCATGTCTCCTCCCCAAAATGTAATTCTCTGCAATGGAAAATAATTTTGGTGCTTTGAAATAGGAATACTTGAAAATAAGTGGAGTTTTTGGGTCCAGAATTGACAAGGTTTTGAATTTGTGCCTGGTAGTCAAGGGAGGTTTCACTGGGCCTTGTGCAGGGGGAAAAACATGCTGGCAAATAGAAATGGATGCTCCTTGCAAATTTTTGAAGCTGCATATTTTAATAGCCCGGTGAAGACTATTTTAATTCTTAAAAGCTTTTATTGTAGTCATTTTTGAGGTCGATGGGGTTTGGCTTCACAAGGACAATATTTGATCCTTTAATTTGGTTTTGCACCTGACTTGATAGAATTCTTGGGATAGCTTATTTTGACTTTCAGTCTCTTATTTGGTACCCTTTCAGTTTTTCTATGGCGCTATGGCTCTGATAGCAAACTTGGGTCTATCAGTGATTGATGCCTGTATTATTTTGTGGATATCCTTTCAGAAGTTGCACAATATGGCTAATTTTTCTAGGAAATGTTCAGTGCCTGGTGCAGAGACCAGTACAAGTGAATTTCTTAACAAAATAACATCCTAAATGAATTTTTGTGTATATGCGAGAGGACTGTTGATCACGTCTTGTATGTTGTCTCCTAGTGGGTTCCATCAACTTGTGCCATTTTGTTTAAATTTAGTGCTCAAAAGTGGAACATGTAGTCTTTGGCACCAACACAGTAAAAGGCCTACCTGCAAAGATCTATAACAAACTTTCTGTAAGAAGTGTTATTGCAGCGCAGCACCATCAAGGCTGTCTGCTCATTAGGGGTGCCTGCTCAATGAGTTACTTACCTACTCTAAAAACTTACTTCTTGCCATATCAGTTGCTTGTGGGGATCAGAACTGTGTGGCGTTTTCTGCTTTTAATAAAATACTCTGTCCCTTGTGTTGAACACTTAATTCAAACCCTCTGCTTCAACAGCAAGGCATAGGGGCTTAATAGCTTTCCAGTTCTGTATTTATGTTCTCTGATGGTAAAATGATAACCTGGGACTGAATGCTTGATGATTTTTGGTGTGTGCTTTGCTTTCCCATTCATCTTGTTCTCACTGGGTCTTTCTCTTTATCTCTAGGCACAGAATGATCTTGCCTCCTTGGCTTTTATTCCCCTGGCTTTCCTAGATACTGCCCTCTGCTGGTGGATATCCTTCTTCACTGTTTAATTTGGTGCAGTGTTTTTTCTTTGGAGTTTGGTCTTCAGGGAATCTTTCCGCAGCAAACATTTTTTGCCATATTGAATGACATACCATCTTTTTGTCGAACAGCTACCATAGGCCCTATGGCCTAAGGGTTCAGGTAAGCTCTATTTCCATAACTCATGTAACAAATTTTAAATTGCCAACAGAGGTTTGTGAATTGGTTTTGGAACAGGTCCTAGCCCTTACCATAGTGAACATGTAGTTTTTGTGTTGTGGTGGTCTCTGCTTATTGATGTGAGTGTACTCTAAAGTTGTATTGAAGCAGTATTCAGAACAGCAGCTTTTGGACTATGGTCCGTCCTGACCTTACTGAGAGTGATTTTGTTTGGGAGTGGTTTGTTTTTTTTGGCGGGGAGGGGTGGTTTTGAGTTTTTTGGTTTTGTTTTAAACTGGTAGAAAACTCTTTATTTTAACACTAGTGCTAAAATTTCTTCTCAGAACTTACAGGTCTCATAAAGTAGTTTGGGGACAAGAAAGAGTTAACTTTTTAAGCAGTTTTCTCAGTCATTTGTTTAAACCTCTTCCCAGCCTCCTCTTCCACATTTACTGTTTGTCTTCTGCTGCGCTGAGACCCTTTGAGTTTAGGACTTGACTAGGTTTAGTATAAGCTCTTGAAACTACCAAACCTGAAAAATTAGGATATGCCAAAAAGTTCACCTTTCCCTTTCCAGGCCAGGGCAACCCCCTTATTCCTCTTACAATGATGTCAGTCTTTTTTGTCTTAAACACATGTTTGATTATTGTACAATTAAAATTGCAGGAAAGTAGGTAAAGACAAACATGGATGTGCTGTCCATTTATATTAAACACGTGACCAGGTTTTAAACCTATTTTTCTCTTCTCAAAATGCATGTTAAGTTTTCCTGCAGGTATGAACTACTGTAGTGTAGTTGTGAAATTTTGCATCAGGCTAGCTTACTGATGTGGTGATATCAGAGTACTAGGCCTGGATGGAGTGGGGTGACATAAAAGGATGGGTATGGAAAACCAGTTGTAGTAAACCACTGTTCAGGAGCACTGCCTCTGGATGACCTTCTGCAGTGCAGGAGGGCTGGGTCACCGTGGCTGTGCTGCTGTTAGGGAGGGTTGCAGGGGCGCTATGTCTGTATGGCCTGACAGTGTTGCTTGAGATGTGTACAAAAGCTGTATCCTACTTGTTATCAAGAACTTGATTCTTAAGCTTGCTTTCCTTGACTTGCCATACATATTCATCAGCCTGACTCAAACGATGAAGCTGCTAAAACTGCGGAGGAACATTGTGAAACTCTCTCTTTACCGGCATTTCACCAACACTCTTATCTTGGCAGTAGCAGGTGAGCTGTGGGTTCCCTTCCTCTCTAAATAGTGCACTTTCCAGGTATTATGGGGCTGGTTTAGTTTACTAAAGCTCTGCTTTGGGTCAGTTTATTGGCCTTCGGCATTTCAGTGTTTGCTCTTGGACACTCAGACTTGCATAGTGGTGGGCTTCTGCCAGATTTTTTCTGACTATCCATAAACAGTAGCTTCAAATTAGCATTTATCTGAATAAGCTTAATAGTTTTTTGAAGTTTCTTTTATTATGGTCCCCTTTCCTCTCCCACCTCCTCTCCCCAGACATCCTCATGCTTCACTAGCAGCTGCATCCCATGCTGAAATCTCCTGCTCAGATGGGTAGTGGCTTCCTCCAAGACTTCAGTACCACTTTGTACTGGTTAATGGGGGCTTTTAAAATGTGTTATGGCTCCACCATGCTGACAGCTTAATCTTTGAGCAGAGTGGCTTTGTGAAAAAGAACATCTGCTCATTTTAGAAAAGAGAGGGCAGGCTATTTTTGGACGGGAAATTAGAATTTAACGTTTGTACCTATTTGCATCAAATAAAATCCAGCTAACATCAAGGACATACCTAATAATGCTACCAGACTCCATTTTTCTCACCCACCCAAAAACCCTATCCAGGCAGTGAGCAGATTGCTATTAACTCCCATAAGGGACTGAGATGTTTGAAACTTGTTTTAGAAAATGCGCCCATTAAATAGGTGGGTTTGGTTGACATTCTTGGCAGCATCTGAAACTAAGCTGCTCCAAAATACAACCAGTATTAAAAAAAACTCCATCCTTTAAAGCCCACTATGGGGAACGCTTAGCTTCTGCATTAAAACTTGCTTTTGGCCCAGGGTAATAAGATCTAAATTCCAGGAATGGTAGGTGGGAGGCTTGGTTACTTCATGATCAGATTACAAGTACAAAATATTTTAAAGAGGCCTGATGTCTTTGAATGCCAATATCCTAATCTGTCTCTCTAAAAGAAGGAAAGTAAGATGAGAATGGGAAATGCAGGTTTGAGGTTTAGCTCAGACCTTTTTACTTGAAGAGATAGAGTATAGTATTTGAAGCCTCTGATCTGAAATATCTTGACTTCTTGTCATAACCAGTCGGAAATTGACCTTAACTTAACTTTTATTTTTTTCCAAAGGCTGATAAATTGAGTTACATGCAGTTCACTCTGAAGGTCTTTGGAATGAAACCTTGTACAGTATCAGCAGAACCTTGTTTTTAAAATCATTAGATTCCTTGGCATTTTTCATAAGATCAATGGGTTTTCTTTGTGTAAGTCACCAATCTGTCATGCAATGTATTGTGTGCCAATTGATTGCAAGTATGCTTGCTTGAGGTGACTATTCTTCACTATTGCTGTGGATGTAGCTTGTAAAGAACTATAGATTTCATAAATGTTAAACTGTTACATTGTCTAGAATGCTGCTAGAATTAAGTTATGTAATTCTTCAAAAAATAGTCCCATGGAGAAGAAGGAAGTAGTGGGGGATCATTCCCTGCCATGTCTTGGACAAGCATGCATTGGGGGAAACAAGAACATTGAATTCAGCTCTCAATTTCAGTGGCTGAATTAACTGATGTGAGATGACTTCCGCAGAATCATCGTCCCTTTGTGATTGGAAGAAAAGGATGTAACAGGAAAAGTTTAAACCATCAACAATTTACTGTAAAAGGCTTTTGCCTTTGAAGTCCCGGGGCATGATTACTTAGTTCTTAGATACTCTAGTGGTAGAAAAACTCTGACTTACTGGTTTTACCAAGTTTTTTTTTTTTTTTTTGCCTTCAGCATCTATTGTATTTATCATCTGGACCACCATGAAGTTCAGGCTGGTGGATTGTCAGTTGGTGAGTTTGCATCTTATACCTAAGTGGTTTCCATGATTACGACTTCCTTCCTTAAAATCTGGATTTGGAGGTAGAGGAAGTAAGGTTGGGGAAGCTGGCAGATGCTCTTCCTGTAGGGTCCACTGTATGCTCCTCCACATGAAGGGAAGTCTTAATCCATGGAAACTTACAGCCTTTGGGGAGCCGTTTAGAACAGAACTGCAACTTTGTCACAGGTGTTTCTAGTTCACCAGTGTATTTTAAAAAAAAAAAAAGACTGAGGGCATGGATTCTCTATTTTCTTGACAGGACTGGCAGGAGCTGTGGGTGGATGATGCCATCTGGCGACTGTTGTTCTCAATGATCCTTTTTGTCATCATGGTTCTGTGGAGGCCGTCTGCCAACAACCAAAGGTTTAACGCGTTTTACCTTAAAGTAATCTTGACTTCTTAAAGTCAAGTCTATCCAAAGAGCATTTCCAGCAGTCCTGGTGTACTGCATGGTCACTTGCTAAACTTTTCTGCAGGCTCTGTGAGCTGTGTGCATGCGTGTGTGTGTGTGTGTATAGGGATTGAGAAGGAAGTATAGTTCATGTTGTATATCCTGACCACAGAAAGTGGAAGTAGCATTTGTAGATTTATAGGCTCTCCTTAGTAACATTTATTTAAAAAAGGGAAATGGTATGAGTACTTAAATTATCTCAGCTTGTGGTTGATCAAAAATCTAACTTACAGTTAGAGGGAGCTGTCCAGAATAGTGAAATAATAAAAATGGCAAGATAATCAATCTCTTCAAAATGACATTTATGTAAGATATTTTGACTTTGTGCATCTGTCTCATGGTGTCTTCATTCTTTCCTCTTCTCAAAAGGTTTGCTTTCTCACCATTGTCTGAGGAAGATGAGGATGAACAGAAAGAGCCCATGTTAAAGGAAAGCTTTGGTAATGTTGGAATTATTAATATTAATATGGGAGACTGCCAGACACTCTTTTAACCATAAATTCTTTAAATCCAAAGGCCAAATGGTGTTTTATACAATTGCTCTAAACATACCTAACAGCCTAAAAATAAGCCAGGGGCAGACAAACTTTTTGGCTTGAGGGCCACATTGGGTTTCCGAAATTGTGTGGAGGGCTGGTTAGGAGGGGCAGTGCCTCCCCAAACAGCCAGACATGGCCTGGCCTCCGCCCCATCCAACCTCCCCTGCTTCTCGCCCCCTGGCGGCCCCCCCGGGCCTCCTGCCACATCCGATTCCCCCCTGCCCCATGACTGCCCCTGGAACCTCTGCCCCTGACTGCCCCCCGAGACTCCTGCCCATTCCAATCCCCCGTGTCCCCTGACTGCCCCCCTGGGACCTCTGCCCCCACTCAACAACCCTGTTCCCCGCCCTCTGACCACGCCGACCCCTGTCCACACCCCACCCCCTGACCACCACCCCGAACTTCCCTGCCCTCTATCCAACCCTCCTGCTCCTTGCCCCCTTACTGTGCTGCCTGGAATGCTGGTGGCGCTGCAGCTGCGCTGCCCAGAGCACCAGGGCAGGCAGCCGTGCTACCCAGCTGGAGCCAGCCACGCCACCGCGCAGCACCGAGCACTGCGTCAGGCCGCCCAGAGCATTGCGCTGGTGGCACAGTGAGCTGAGCCTGCCTAGGAAAGGGAACAGTAGGGGAGGGGCCAGGGACTAGCTTCTCGGGCCAGGAGCTCAGGGGCCAGGCAGGAGGGTCCCGCAGGCTGGATGTAGTTTGCCCATCTCTGAAATAAGCAGTCACTACACCCAATACAGTACCAAAGTATTTGTAAGCCTGTGATCAGTATACTTACAAATAGGCCAGACCTAGAGAAAACCATCTTATCCTGGTGTGCCCCAGCATGATCATGTAGGGGTCTGACAAAGAAGCTTCAGATTCATGGCTTTTTTTATACCTTTCACTAGCTTTAGCAAAAGTCCAGTTTGAAGGAGTTTCTCCTTGCTTCTTTCCTTCCTCCAAGGCCTTCCTTTATCTCCTTCTCTCCCCCTCCCCCAACCGCTCACCAGCAGAAGAGTGGGAAGGTTTGTGTTCGTTTCTCTTAAGACCATTTTTTCTTTGTCTTGTTACTGCAGCTCTTTATTTTATTAGTTAGTTTTTTTGAACCATATGTCCTTTCCACACTACAAGTGATACTATTTATTATTCTCATGGCCTTCCTTTACTTGCTGATTAGAGCCCCTTCCTTACTGGCCACAAACCAGAAAGCAAATATATTATTTTCTCAACCAAACTTAAGCTAACTTTTTAATTCTTTTAATTTCATAACTAAGCCTAAAGACAGGAACAGAATCTTTCTGATTTTCCTTTCTTTGGGGGTGGGAAAGGAATCTTAGTGCTGAATTAATCAAGGACAGGTATAGCAGCACTGTCACCAGCAGCGTAAACTCCTCCACGCTGCCACTAGACTTAACCCTAGCCTTAGAGGAACACCACCACTAAATGTTCAGTCTCTCCGTGGCCTGTTCAGTCTCTGACTTCTCAGATGAAACTGCCAATGGGGGCACTCGTGTGTAATCTTGTCCACTAGGAACTGGTCTGAGATCTTCAACTTTGTAGGCAACTAGGCTTCAGATAGTGGGGACTTTCAGATGCTACTGCTGGACAGCAAATTAAGATGGATTAGACATGATGATTGAAAGGCTCACAGAAAAGGTGGGGGAGCTGGTTCTTACAGGAACAGTGAAATGGATCATGCATAAAAGTACACTGAAGAAAGATCCTTTTCCTCTTAGAGTTATAGTTATCATAGGTGTTCACTGAGCTTCACTTTGGACTTGCCTAGACCGTGCAGCAATGCACACTACGGGGGGAGTGATTTCTAAAGTGTGTGAATGTGGTGTGCACTAAAAGTTTCCTGTAGCACTTCAACATAGTGCTGTTTCCACACACCCCTTGGGTGCATTGTTGCACCATGCAGACCAACCCTTAGTATTGTTTGTTAAAAATGTATATGAATTTTTCTGAGAAGTTACTTTTGCTACCTGGAAAGGGGACTCTGCTTTTAAATAGGTAGCATGCCCTTTCCCCTAAATAATGACCTTTGGCTTCAGTAGAGTATTCCTAATAGATATGCCATCTACAGTTTACATTCTGACATAATTTAATATCCCGTGTCTGTCGTGTCTCCCCTTTGCAGAGGGAATGAAAATGAGAAGTACAAAACAAGAACCAAATGGAAATGTGAAAGCAAACAAAGCTGTGAGTATGCCTTTCCCACCTTGGCCCTATCACTAGGTAAAAGTAATGCCAGATCACTCAGTTGGCTGCCACTTAAATAGGAGCTCTGTAACAGGAGCAAACCAAGTATCTGTTTGTCCTTTCCAAGAAGTGAGTGATTTGGGTCAAAACATGATGATCGTGGTGCTTGTGAACAGATTTTGTGTTTTAGCTTTCTGGTAAATCAGAATTCAGTATGTGCTTTGAGAACTTGCACATAATGCATTAGAGACAGAACTGTTTCATATTACACCAAGTTCTCTGAAACTGGCTAATTTAGCCTTTGTGTAGCTAGTCTCTCAGGTTCTAAGATTGCTTCAAAACAGAAAAATACATGGAAGTTGAACTGGATTCAGAGGGCATTTACACTGCTTACCCTATGTTTCCAAATCCTGTATGCTTTTCAGTCAGATGCACAACCACCTGAGGTACATGTGTATCTTTTGTGAGTGCATTTAAGACGTCTGCATTTTCCACATGTGACCCTGTAAAACTCAGGATTTATTCACGAGTAGGTAGAAAATGCATTCCAAAGTTGTTTCTCTAAAGCCTTCAGGGTCGAGCTCATTTTTGTCTAAAGCATGCATAAACTGTAGAACCCTGTTGCTCCCTGAAATCTCTGTTCTGCTTTGGCAGTAGCAAGGAGTTCCTCAAACTCTTGAGTCAGCAGCAAGGACATTCAAATAAAGATGACTTCTAATTCACAGATATCCTTAATATAAAGATAAAACTGCCCATTGTTTTCTGTTCAGCAAAAAAGCAGAGTAGAAATATGTTCAGTGCTCAAAAATCCTGTGTAGTAATATGTATCGCAAATCAAAATGTCAGTTCATACAAATCAACAGTCCTCCTAGTGCTATGAAAGTGCTGAGAGTCTCAACAAAAATTAGGAAGGTTACATTAACATAGGGTGTACTCTTTAATCTTTTGAATGCCACATTCTGAATCCTATTTTTGTGTTTTAATACAATGTTTTATACATTATCGTAGCATTTTAAGTTCATTCTTGGCTGAGTAGGCACTGGCTTAAAATGGCTGAAAAATGTTTTAAACATTTATTTTTACTTCCCTGCTCCTCTGAATTCGATTCCTTAATCCAGAAATAACAATTTGCATTTCTTGTGTGGGCATCCACTATAGTTAATGCTGAACTTTTCAGGTAGGCTAGAGGAAATGTCTTCATTTGCAAACCCCTTCAGAGTCTTGTCATTTTTTATTTTAATGTTGGTTTCTGTGCTTCTAGCAGGAAGATGATCTGAAGTGGGTAGAAGAGAATGTTCCTTCTTCAGTGACTGATGTGTGAGTATCTGTGCTGTGACAAGCAGCAGCAGCTGCACTGGAGTCAGAAGCGCTGGAAGTATAGTTAGAATGCCAGCAGTTGTGGTGCTGGCTCTGCTGGGCAAGTGCTGAACCCTTTCTGGAGTTGGCCTCTGACTTTAAGAGTACGTCTGTGCAGCATGCTAAGTGTAAATATATAGCCATATGTAGTAGTTGATAGGATTTATTAAGTGGTTTTTAAAAAAAAATCTAAAACTGCACCTTCTTTAAATCTTGGTGTTTGTCCTTCTCTTGCTGCTGTGGTGAAATTATCCTTAAACGTAATGCATCTGCTGAAATGTAGACTGGGAATTTCTTAAATAGTCACTGCAGTTGGTAGTGGTAGGTGCAAATGGTCCCTTATGAGGATTTGACCTCAAGTTGAAAATCAGCAGTACTACAAGTGAGGCTACTGGGAATAAGTAAGTCTCTGGTTCAATATTTTGGTGACATGTTTGGTTTTAAGCGTTCAACATTTGTGTAGTTAGAGGTATCACACAAGGTAAAGTCCTAGTCCTTTTAGTTAAAGGACCAAGACATTTAAAAGATACAGGACAGAGCTGACACATTCTTGTGCTCTGTGGATGGAGAAATCAGTGTGATTCTGACAATGAGTAGTGATATTTGTATGAAAGAAACTTTTTCCTGTTGTGGCTTCTGTATATCATCTCATGACTATGAATAATGAGCTGAAGTCAGTGTTAGCCACCTGTGTTTTGAATCTCATGTCCAAGGACTTGCTTTTTTTTTTGTGGAGTTAAAATCAGATTAGCTTCACTCAGTAGTGTGCTCTGGATGTACATTTGAGTGTTTTTCCTAATATAATATAAATTGTGAATAATTTTTATTAAGTTGGGTAGTTAAGACAGAATGTCTGGGCCTTCTGGTTTAGTGGCTGTTTAGTTCAGTTCAATGATACTTGATATTGGCAGTGTGGAAGCCCACTGTACACAACTGGTATCACTTCTGCCTTAATAGTGATTTTTACAGTTTAAACTTTGGTGTTCTATGCCTAAATTTCTTTTTTTAAATCGTATGTAAATCATGATGGATACTGGCTTATAGTTCTGATACTGGCATTCCAGCAGAAAACTCAGATCCTGGATTTAAATACACAACTCTGTGTAACAAAAATACAATTCAGTTTATACATGATAGGATACTAAGTACAGTTTCAGAATACTACACTGAGGAAAACCGGTGTATCTTGTGAAAATTTGTCTTCATTTGCCTGGGGTTTGTCTTTAATTAGAGGGTACCGAAAGCTAGTAAAAGGCAAGATACTCCTCTCCACCACATAAAGTAAATAAGAGGTTATAAAAGACACTGTCATTTTACTTGAGAGTTTTTGAAAGTTGATATCTTCTGGCTGATTTCAAGTGATGGGAATTTGAGAGCTGGACAGTTAAAGCAGAACTTAGGAACTGATTTTGTTATTGGTATTTGATAATACTACTTAGGTCCTATCTCACTCTGTTAATGTCTTTCTCTGTCTTCCTCCAGTTCTCTAATTTTAGCAAAGGGTTGGTGGTCTTCTCCATTATAACCTATTCCTGTCAAAAAGCTGGAGGTGTTAAAACTGACATTGATGTTTTCAGTCATTTAGTGCTTGGGTCTGTGTAACAATCTTTGTTTGTTTTTTTACTGCAGTGCTCTCCCAGCCCTTCTGGATTCAGATGAGGTCAGTAAACAAGCCTTCAGCACAAATTGAAGTCTTATGACATGCCAAGGGAGTCATGAGTCTTTCATTAAAGAGGTTGACTTGGCCTGTTAGAACTGAGCTTTATGTTCCTATAAATGCGGCAGGAAAGGGGAGGGGAGGAAGTACTGATGTTCTAATTGGATGAAATACAATAATTTGCCCTAAATATGTACAGTGTAAACTAGTGTTCAGCCGAAAGACTTTCAAGAATGGTAGAACCTGTGCAGCAGATTGCAATTTATCATGAAACAATTATTTTAAATCCAAATGATTTTAAAATACTAGATGCTCCCTTCATGTAGTAGTGCCATGCATGTTTACTCAAAGTAAAGCTGCATTTCCCTGTCTCCTTCCACGTTTGTGTGAATTCCAGTAACTTATGTTGTAGCAAAACAGTGCTGTTTCTGGCTCTCTGGCTCTGCAGATGCTGGTGCATAAATTAGAAGCTGTTTCTAGAACAGTGGTCCCCAAATTGGTGGGGGGGGCATTTTGTGGGCAGGGGGTGCAGTGGGATGTCAACCAGCCCTGGTTGGGAGGGAGCACTGTGCTTCTAGTCCCACTCTGCCCCCAGCTTCACTTCTTTTCCAAACTCATTCAGCCCCAGTCCTGCTCTGCCTCCAGGCCTGGGCCAGCCCCCATGGGAGGCAGGGAGGGAGTGCTACGTTTCCAGCTCCGCTCTGCTGTGATTCCCTCTTTGCCCCCAGCCAAGCTCTGCCTCTAGCCCCAGCTCCTCCCCCACCCACAGTTCCGCCCCCAGCTTTGCCTTCAGCCCAAGCTGGGGAAGCCTTGGTGGTGCTGTAATGGAGGGAGGTGCAGACAGATTCCATTAATGGTAAGTGGGGGTGCGACTGGAAAAGTTTGTGCACCACTGTTCTAGAAGTTGAGTTTTGGTTAATACCATCATTTGCATGTTGCTTTTGGGCCAAATAAAGGGTTAATATGTGAAATCTGTGCCTCATGCTGAATTACAATAAAATCAGTCACCTAAATAATGCTGACGGGTTTCAGAGTGGTAGCCATATTACTTTGTATCAGCAAAAAGAATGAGGATTACTTGTGGCATCTTAAACTGCCCAAATAAATTTGTTATAAGCTTTTGTGGGTTAAAACCCACTTCATTAGATGCATGGAGTGGAAAATACAGTAGGAAGACACACACACACACACACGATGGGCGTGGCTATACCAGCTCTAATGAGACAAATCAATTAAGATGAGCTATTATCAGCAGGAGAAAAAATACTTTTGTAGTGATAATCAGGGTGGCCCATTTCAAACAGCTGACAAGAAGGTGTGAGTAACAGTAGGGGGAAAAGTTAGTATGGGAAAATAGTTTTTAGTTTGTGTAATGACCCATCCACTCCCAGTCTTTATTCAAGCCTAATTTGATGATGTCCAATGCTATGAATGTTGATGAGTTGATTAAATTCTTGACAAAGTGTGCTCTCTACTGTATCTGGAACCACTAGGCAAAAATTGTTCTTGCTGAAGAGAATTTAATGAGAGAGACGATGGATTATTATAGCACGCCGCAAATTATTTAGTGAATAGTTTTTTCCTTGATTTTAGCACATATTTTTCTTTCTGCTTTTTGTAGTATTAGATGAGTTCCAAACGTTAAGGTTTGATTGAGAGTTCCCTTTTCACCTATTTGGGAGTGACAAAACGCAAACCTCCTGCTAGTTAGGGAGAAACGCATTATGTCAGTATTTGAGTGTGCTTCTCTCTAACCAGCATACGAAATTCTGTAATGTGTACATGATATGTATCTTCACACATTCAGAGTTAACATGTAATGATCTGACCTAAACAGAGATCGAGTAGCAGTGTATACTCAGAAAGGTAACTTTCCCCTATATGTGCAGTTAGATTTCTGACTGGACAAATTAATATCTTATCAAAATTTGAGCACTCTCTTTATATATCTCTTATTCCATGTATAACCACTGTTCTGCAATGCATGTGCGTTATCTATAAACATGTGAAGAGTGGGCTCTTAGTACTGAGTGATGTAAACACAGAGACAAAAATTACAAACTTCAATGACCTTTTTTGAATTTTGCAGGAAAGAATGATTACACACTTCGAAAGATCCAAAATGGAGTGAAGAAGCAGCTTCTTGAAAGTTCTGTTTCCCGTAGGCTGCCCAGTGGATCAGGCGCATCCTACTTCTCTCTCTCGATCTTCACCGTTGGAACTGGACCCTGTATTTGAGCGAGGGCATCTTACGCAGTTCACTGTGGAAGAGGTTCACGAGGACATTGATAAACCTTTGAAAAATGTTTGAATTTACAGTGAATTTACAAGTTTGGATTTTTAAGTGATTTAAATGTGTGTTCCAGCACCTTCTGTAACTTTCTTCAGATATTTAATCTGTCAAACTAAAAGTCCTAACATCTGACTGAGGGACTATGAATTCAATGTTACAATTAACTTCCACAGGTCAACTACCTGTTTTTGGTGGAGGGTAGAAGAAGGTGGTGAAGAGTTACTTTAGAAACAACCTTCCCATTTTATTGAAAATAATGGCTAATAGATGGAGACTGCGCAGCTGGCTTAGAAGGAGAGGAGGTTTTTGAGTAAGAAGCCCCAGTAATTGAAGGAAATCAATTGAGATACCAAAAAGGAAATATTTTGAAAAAGTTACAATGATATTGATGTTTTTAACAAAACCAAGTGCAATTTTATTAACAACACTGTGTATAGGAAAGATTTTCTATTTTAAATGTCATTGACCTAGGAGCAACAGTTGCATAACTTCAGCATTTGTTGTTGTGGCACATCTCATTGCCGGCAATGTGATGGATGCCTAAAAATGACTTACCCATACCTTCAAAGTGTTGCGTGGCCTAATAAAAACTTCCTACAACACTTTGCTAATGTTTGTCTATGAAGTTAAGCAAATATTAACTAGATATTTCAGTAGAACTCTATTCTGTGCAAGTGACCTATCTGCCTCGAGGTCCGTACTTACCCACGAGATGATGGCACCACCTCCCAGAGGGAGCAGGTTCTTCTTTTCCCTGCAGGCAAAAGCTTTGCTGGTTTTGATCCTAATATGTTCTGCTGGGATACTTCGGCTCCTGGGGAAAGTTAAGCGGGGGGGGGAATGGGGAGTTTAAAAAGTCACCTGTTATGTAAGTGGTTTAGTGATCGATTTTTTCCTGTCTAGTCCATCCCTGGGGCCAACAAGTGCTTTCTGTTCATTTGATCAATGTCAGAGTTGCAGATTTCTATTCTGTACAGAATGGTCGTCTCATTTTTTAAAAGAGTGGAAAAAAGTCTTTGCTTTTGGTTTTTTAATCATTTTTCATACTTTCTAGCCTGGAAGTTTCACTTGGCAATAATTTACATGTGCATGCCCATTGTAGGCCACAGGTTTGCATGTGTAAGTTGCATGGGTGTGAGTGAGGCTATAATTGGCCTGCAGAGTCTTTACTACTGATAATGACACAGGAGGCAACAGCTTGACTGTTACATACCATGTGGAGTTTGCAGTACCACTAGTTAAGCAGGTTTTTACTTGTAAATTGAGCAGATTTATTTCAGAAATTGATGAGATAACATGTAACACTCAAAGTGCCCTTGATAGAGCTGCTTTTGTGCAGGAGAACTGCACTAAAATCTCAGGTTTCAGAGTAGCAGTCATGTTAGTCTGTATCCGCAAAAAGAACAGGAGTACTTGTGGCACCTTAGAGACTAACAAATTTAGTCTCTAAGGTGCCACAAGTACTCCTGTTGGTTTTTACTAAAATCTCAGACTCAAACTTTAGATGAGCACAGTGGTCCCTTCTGGCCTTAGTCTGACCTCCTGCATGTTGCAGGCCACAGAACCTTGCCCACCCACTCCTGTAATAGACCCATAACTTGTAGTGAGTTATTGAAGTCCTCAAATAATGATTGAAAGACTTCAAGTTACAGGGTATCAGCCATTTACTCTAGTTTAAATCAGCAAGTAAACCATGCCTAATGGTGCAGATGAAGGCAAAAAACCTACAGGCAATTGTCCTATGGCAATCATTTGGACACGAGTATGTCAGCAAGATCCACCCGCCAGACATCTGGGAAGGAATTCTCTGTAGTAACTCGGAGCCCTCTCCATCTAGTGCTCCCGTCCCTGGATATTGCTACTAGCAGTCGCAGATGGGCCACGTCATTGTAGCAGTCTCATCATACCATCCCCTCCATAAACTTACCAAGCTCAGTCTTTGAAGCCAATGAGGTTTTTTGCCCACATTGCTCCCCTTGGAAGGCTGTTCCAGAACTTCATTCCTCTGAGGGTTAGAAACCATCATCTAATTTCAAACCTAAACTTGTTGATGGCCAGTTTATATCCATTTGTTCTTGTGTCAATATTGGTGCTTAACTTTAAATAACTCCTTTCCCTCCCTGGTATTTATAACTCTGATGTATTTATAGACAGCAATCATATCTCCCCTCAGCCTTTGGTTAGGCTAAATAAGCCAAGCTCTTTGAGTCTTTTTTCATATGGTAGGTTTTCCCTTCCTCTGATCATCCTGGTAGCTCTTCTCTGTACCTGTTCTGGTCTGAATTTATCTTAAAAATGGGAGACAAGAATTGCACATAGTATTCCTGATGAGGTCTCACCAGTGCCTTGTATAATGGCAGTAACACTTTCCTGTCCCTATTGGAAATGCCTCACCTGATGCATCCTAGGTTTGATTTAGCCTTTTTCATGGCCACATTGCATTGGTAGCTCATAGTCATCCTGTGATCAATTCTTACAACCAGGCCTTTTTCTCTTCTTTCACCTCCAACTGATAAATGCTCAGCAGAAATTCTTGTTGTTAGTCCCCAAGTGCAATGCCTTGCACTCTGCACTATTAAATTTCATCCTATTTCTATTATTTCAGTTTTCAAGGTTGTCCAGATCTTCTTGTATGATATTCCGGTCCTCCTTCCAACTTTGTCATGTGCAAATTTTATTAAAGCACTCCCACTTTTTATGCCAAGGTCATGAATGAAAATGTTAAATAAAATTTGGTCCCAAGATGGATCCCTCAAGAACTCCACAAGTAACCTCCCTCCAGCCTGACAGTTCCCCTTTCAGTATGACCCATTGTAGTCTCCCCTTTAACCAGTTCATTCTCCACCTTTTAGTTCTCATATTAATCCCAGTCTTCTCCAATTTAACTTATAATTTCCCATGTGGAACTGTACCAGATGCCTTACTGAAATCCAGGTAGATTCGATCTACTGCATTTCCTTTGTCTAGAAAATGGATTATCTTAGAGATCAAACCATGTTCATGTTTTTTGTAACACCACAGTCACATGCTTCCATAGGCCACTTTCCGCATCCAGCAGTCTACCCTCACAGTTCTTTAGTCCAGCTTCCATCTGAGAGTCCTGAATTTTCCCTTCTGCCTCCCCTCGTCTTCCCTCCATCATCAGCTTGAATACCCTTTGAAACTCAAGCATGCTTTCCACCTGCATCTCCAAACCTCGGATCTTCTCTTCCATTAGCTCTATCAGGCGCCACTTCATTCAAATGAAGTTTTTGGGCTCTTTGGGTACCTGTTCCAGGATAACGTACATCCCATAGCATCCATGTCTAGTCATCTTCACTGTTTCTTCCATTCCTTGGATCACTACCACTGCTGCCTTTGTGTCTGTCATAGCATTCCTGCCTAAGCTCCTGTCAAGGGGGAAAAACCCTGCAAGTTCAGAACACCACACTCCCTGTTCAAGACTCCATTTTCTGCTCTGCTTGCTGTCTCCTGTGCCCCTGTTGCTGGCTGGCTGCTTGGCTGCCTTTATAGGCCCCCTAATCAGGGCTCTGCTATGATCAAAGGCTCTGCTTCTCTCACAGTACTCTGCCCCACCAGCCTCTGAAAACTGAAAAACAGAAAGCAAAACAGCAAGCAAACAGACTCCCAAGAACTTACTCTCTGCCCTTAAGAAAGAGGGGCTTGCCTCCCTTCTTCTCCAACAGCTCTACACTCAAACTCCCCTGTTTTCTGGCTCTGTTTGCTAGCAGTTGCTGCTGCTAACTGGCTCTTCTGTGCTATTTTCTTTAACTCCTGTTTGATATTAGAGGTGAATAGAACAAAGAATCATCACCTGCCTTGGAACTGCAATGTGGAGATGGTTATGTGTGTGTTTTTAATAAAACCTAGGTCAAAGCACAGGAAGGACCTAACTCAGCTGGATTCCTTCTGCTGAGCAGCTCTGCTTTGTGATGGGGAATGGACAGAAAATAATCTTTGTTCTTCAAAAGAGTTGCAAGGAACTTGGCTTCTTTAAACAATAATCAAGCTCTAGTTTACTATTTCCCTTTTAACACTCAGATGCCTGCTATCTTACTTACCTCCTCTCTGATGCCGTTCTAATAGTTGTCCTATTCCCTGTTATAAATTAAGCTCAGCAATAGATATGTGGGCACAGTTGGCAATGGGCTTTGTTGCAACAAATATCTATCTATTATATATCTATTATCTATTCATATCTATATCATATCCCCACATATCTATTCAGGGGACACCATCAAAGGGCCTAATAACATCAGCCACACTATCAGAGGCTCGTTCACCTGCACATCCACCAATGTGATATATGCCATCATGTGCCAGCAATGCCCCTCTGCCATGTACATTGGTCAAACTGGACAGTCTCTACGTAAAAGAATAAATGGACACAAATCAGATGTCAAGAATTATAACATTCATAAACCAGTCGGAGAACACTTCAATCTCTCTGGTCACGCAATCACAGACATGAAGGTCGCTATCTTACAACAAAAAAAACTTCAAATCCAGACTCCAGCGAGAAACTGCTGAATTGGAATTCATTTGCAAATTGGATACTATTAACTTAGGCTTAAGCCTATTTCCCCTTGTTTTTTCTACCCCCCCCCGACGTTCTGGTTAAACTTGGATTTATGCTGGAAATGGCCCACCTTGATTATCATGCACATTGTAAGGAGAGTGGTCAGTTTGGATGAGCTATTGCCAGCAGGAGCGTGAGTTTGTGTGTGGGGGTGGGGGGGTGAGAAAACCTGGATTTGTGCTGGAAATGGCCCACCTTGATTTTCATACACATTGTGAGGAGAGTGGTCACTTTGGATGGGCTATTACCAGCAGGAGAGTGAGTTTGTGTGTGGGGGGGCGGAGGGTGAGAAAACCTGGATTTGTGCTGGAAATGGCCCAACTTGATGATCACTTTAGATAAGCTATTACCAGCAGTGGGGTGGGAGGAGATATTGTTTTATGGTCTCTGTGTATATAATGTCTTCTGCAGTTTCCACAGTATGCATCTGATGAAGTGAGCTGTAGCTCACGCTCAAATAAATTGGTTAGTCTCTAAGGTGCCACAAGTACTCCTTTTCTTTTTATATTTGAGAGTAGTCTTATGAGCAGTAGGGTACTTAACAGTGCACGTGGTTACTCCTGAGGGCATTCTGTGCCAAAAACATAAAAATTCTGCACGCTATTTTAAAGTTAGGCAAATTTTATGTGTTAAAGGTGGAGGCTCCAGCATGGCATTGGGAGCACAGGTGGGAGATCCCTGTGAAGCTCCCCCAGGACCCAGACTTGGGGGTGAGGCTGCCCCTACCCTGCAGATAGACTGTCTAGCAGCTTGGGGTGAAGGGTGGGGCAGCCCCTGGACTCCTCCCCATGAGGAGTCAGGATCTGATGAGGGTGGTAGAAGCTTGGTAGACTTAGATGAGGGAGAGACTAGGGTCACGTGATGAAGGGAAGAACCATCAGCCTTGATGGAAAGAGAATGAATAAGGCTCACATGCAGTTGCTGAAGAGGGTGACGACGGAGTTTGGCTTCACCCCATGAAGTAATGGGTACAATTCTATCATAAATACTGTACATGCATAAAACAATGTTAATAGATCCTTG